CACACACACACACCTGTCTCTTATACACATCTAGGGGTGTAGCAGGAGGGGGAATTGGGTACCAGAACAGGTTGTGGAAATAATTGATGCATACGTAGAGCCGTGCTTTGTGGAATGCCAAGCTCGCAGTTACTCGCTGTTGTCAGAAGATCACGATCATCACAGCAGCCCTTGCGACTAAACGGTGGGGGTTAACACCAACCTCCCCTGGCCACCACTGTTTAATCCCTACCATTTTCTCACTATCCTTTTTTCTTTTCGTTTCCCCACTTGCTCACTATCACAAAGACAGGACTCCACACTAAATACTAAATACTAAACACTACACACTAAACACTAAATACTGAATAGCAAATACTATATACTGAAGTTCTAAAAAAAAAACAAATACTAAAATATTTAATAAATTAATACTAACTACTACACACAAAATTTAAATAGCTCTCGTCTGAGGCGGCTGCACAGAGACAAATAGATACAATCTACATGCACACCATTGATTACAGCAGCAGCGGGCATAGCAGCGATGACGCGTAAACACTGCAGCAGCTATTCACAGATACTACACAGGTGCTGACAAACACATCATGCATATTACACAGCAAAAAAAGGAAAAAAAAAAAAAAAAAAAAGAGGAGGAGCGCACACTTACCGTAAGTTCCATGCTAATTATTGACGGGGCAATACATGTGTCACAACCAGCACGGCGGCACAGCAGCTCGTCGCGCAGCCCACGCAAGGCAACTACACTTCATATATTTTTATTATTTTTTTAATATTTTAACTTTAAAATTTTAACTTCAATATTTTAACTATTGTTACAAGTTACAACTGAGGTGCTGAAACGGGACCCGGTACGTCTGGTGGAGGAATGTCCAATAAAAGGCGCATTCTGTGGCTGCTGCAACGGTTATGTCCGACGGAGAAATCGCCACTCACCGCCCCATTTTGCGGCCATACCATAACAACTAGCGAAGGCTACGATGTTGAAGACAGGCGAATCATTAAGACAGAGGAAAGCGATTACGATGACCAAAGTCACCAAACTATTGTAACAACGGAGCTGCCGCTGCAGCTGTCATGTCTGACGGAAATGGCCAATAACAGGTGCATCTTTTGCGGCCGCTGACTGTGAGCTATAGCTATTCCGAGCTGGAGGACCATAATACTAAGCTCGTATAAGATCATCTTCTTGGTCCCCGTAACTGACGATGGACACCTTGTTATGTTGCCCTCACTTCAAAAAAAAAAGAAAAACAGAAAACAAAAAAAACACTGAAAATAGACTCTTCACTGTCTAAGTCTGCCTTCAGAGTCCACAGATCCCAAACTCCACTATGCTCACACACATGCACACACACACACACACACACACACACACACACACACACACAGAGAGAGAGAGAGAGAGAGAGAGAGAGAGAGAGAGAGAGAGAGAGAGAGANCACACACACACACACACACACACACACACACACACACACACAGAGAGAGAGAGAGAGAGAGAGAGAGAGAGAGAGAGAGAGAGAGAGAGAGAGAGAGAGAGAGAGAGAGGCTGCAGATCCCAAGTTCAACCATACAGTGGTGGGACATAAGGTGACCTTTATCTGGTTGAGGGTAATCTTCAAACTTGATCTGGCCAATAAGTGGCCCGTTCAAAATCTTGGAGGACAGCACCGCCTTCAGAGTCTGACGTTCTCAGAAATCTTCACCTTCATGAATGACACTTCTCAAGTGACAAACAAATACATCGCATCCTCGTCCATCCCCTTAACTGGACCATTAACCAGAGTTAGCGGACTCTCCGCCATCAACAGCAGTCAGTACATTAACCAGAGCAGCTATGAGATTGACCGGAGTGTGTAATCATGAGAGTAGAATACTTATGCTTTCACTTCAGACCTCTTCCCCGGACAACCACGTGGGTACCAAACGGTCCGCTCCCTATACATTGGCGCTTCACAAACCCAGCAGCCAAGGAGGAGCTTGAGCATTTCTCAGAGTTGGCCTTGCACATATATTGCGTCGCTCCAGAGACTGACCACCAGTTGTGAATAGACAGACTATTCATGCCCTTCCTCCCTTCCTCCCTCCCTCCCTCCCTCCCTACCTACCTACCTGCCTCCCTTCCTCCCTCGCTCCCTGCCTGCCTTCCTCCCTCCCTCCCTCCTTACCTACCTACCTCCCTCCCTACCTCCCTACCTGCCTCCCTCCCTACCTCCCTACCTGCCTCCCTCCCTCCCTCCCTCCCTCCCTCCCTCCCTCTTGATAAGCACCACGTCTTCCGACTGGAAGGAGCTCAGCCTGGCACGTTCCCGATACCTTGGCTCTTCAGAACTCCAATAGCCAACTTGAAGGAGGACCTTGACCATTCATCACAGCTGAGCCTACCCGATACATCGGCTCTTCACAACAGTTACTCTAGAAGTCAAGGAGGACTTTGGGAATAGCTCATTGCTGACCCTGCACATGTATTGCCTTGCTCCAGAGACTGACCACTTGGTCCACTTGTGAATAGACAGACTCTACCCATACCCTTCCTTCCTCTCCTCCTTCCCCTCCTCCCTCTCTTTCTCCCTCCCTCCCTCTCCCTCTTCATAAGCACCACATCCTCCGAATGGACGGAGCTCAGCCTCGCACATTAAATGTGGTGAGCTATCCCCACTGTAACTGTCATTCATCCCAGAACATGCCATTGTTGGGAATTTATCTGACATCATTCATTACATCAACACGTCAGCAGCGTGCGTGCGACAGCGACAAAAAGGGATTGACAATGTATGTTTAAGTCCTTTTTCACCCAGCATTAGGTGAGCGATCTCGGCCGGAAGTTCTGTTGGAGCTGCGTACGATCCATTCTGCACGTAATTCAAGTACTAGTCGTAGTAGTCGAAGACTGTTTTGGTTTTTGGTGAAAAACCTCCTCCGCACCATTGGTGCACACGGATGAAATCCATGTGCGCGATACCCGCTGAGGTTGAAGAGTTGCTGAAGCTGAGGTGATTCGATCAACCGTTCTGAATCAGCAATGTGCGCTGTTGCGAACGGCGCGAAGAAATTGTATTTTGCAGTCTTCGATCGCCGAGTAGCTGAGCGATCTCGGCGGGAAGTTCTGTCGGAGCTGTGTACGATCCATTCTGCACGTGATTCAAGAAGTCGAAGATTTGATCGAAAAAGTCCTCCGCGCCGTTGATGCCCACGATGAAGTCCATGTGCGCGTACCTGCTGAGATAGACGAGTCGCGGAATCTGAGGCAAGGAGATCATGAGATGCGCGACGTCATAAGGATCGGCCAGCGAGTCCGCCCCGCCGAAAAGTAGCATCATCGGGAGAGAGATCGGAACATTCGACAGGGGGTAAATGGGCGGATAAAAATAGCCATAATGCCTAACATTGCTGAACCATCCGAAATTGTAGCGGCAAAAAGTGCCACTCCGGATCATCTGCGAGAGATGAGCAAGGTTTCTCACGGACGTCGCCTCAGAGCTCCAATGTAACTCGAACCACGTGCGCGTCCTATTCAGGCAACAGTTCGGGCCGGTGATGGCCGCCAAGAGATCGCTGCAATCCACTCCCTTGTGATCGCACACTCGGCCAACCAGCTCGGCACCGACTTCGCTGCGCAGATTAAACTCGTGCAATCCGGCCGACATCAAAAGCTTGTCGATGTACACAGACGCCGCGACTCTGACAAATGCGGACGACACATGATCCAGGTACGCGATCGGGCACAACAGGATCGCCGCCTCCACCATGTGCGTGATTTTCCGCAGCGAGAATGCCGCTAGGCCCATAATCGTTCCCTGGGAATGGCCTAGGTACGTCACCTTGCTTCCATTTCTGACAGTATATATGTGCCGCAGCATGGCCGGGACATCGTACAGCGCCATCTCGTCCCAGCTCCAGTCCCAGTACTCTTTGTCTTCTGGCCGCCACTTCGCGTGTCCATGGCTCCACCGACTCGTTCGACCGTTGGCTATCCACACCTCGTACCCCTGCTCGACGAGACGGAACGCAAGATTTTCGTCCGGCGGGCTGAGAAGCCAGCTCTCTCCTCCCGAGAACAATCCGTGCTGCATCAGCAAAGGCGGCCTCCTCCTGTCCTTCGACATGTCGCCATCGCCATGGCCGCTGTCTGCCCCTTTTAATCCGTACGGAATCCGCTGTAGGGTCAGGATAAACCCATCATCCGTTGTTACCTCGTGCTCCTCGCACGGATAACCGTAAATCTGGACCAGACCTTCGCATAGCGGCGAGCGAGAGAGTTCGCGCAGCGGCAGTCGGTTTCCAGCGCCAAGCACCCTGTCTGACGATGATGTGTACACTGCCGACCCCCTCACAGGCCTAACCACGAGCTGAACCACCAACAGCTGGGCGAGGATGAGGACGTAAGAGCATGACATGCGACGTTGACGATCATGGAGGAGGAGGAGAAGGAGGAGAGGGAGGGGGAGGGGGAGAAGTAAGAACTGCATCCTCTCCCCTTTTAGACTCTTGTCTCAAGATCTAGTACCGATCGCAGTACCACAAACGCTCATGTTGACGAAAGTCCTCGCCCGATCGTATGCCCTTCGTCTTCTCCACAATAGACGAACTCGAACGGAGATGACAAGTGCCCTTCTAGACCATCTGGGCTTTGCCTCACTGCAGCTCTGGAATAAACGCGCGGGATCAAAAAGCAAGTTATTTATGTTTCTTTTTCATAAAACTTAAAAAAACAATTGCCGTTCGTAAGTTTATGTTGCTTTCAACCTAAAACTTAGTAAAAAGACAATTCTGTTGCGCCATGCTAACTAAGCAGCAGTACTCTTTGGGGGGGGAAAAAAAAAACCTATGCAGTCCTTCGGGACATCTGTTAAAATTGGAATGATTCAGAGAAAGCCGATTAGCATGGCCCCTGCGCAAGGATGACACCCATAAATGGAGAAGTGGTTCAATTTTCAACAACAACAACAACAACAACAACAACAACAACAACCAAAAAAAAAAAAAAAAAAAAAAAAAAACCTATGCAAGCCGTCCAACAATGGGAATGGCTCCAGAAGCTCCAGAATCAATCAAAAAATGAGTAAAATTCAATAAATAATTGTACTACCCCAAACACAACGCACCCTCATTTTGAATGCACCTGACCAGCAAGACAGCTAATATACGTACACAATGAGGGCGCCCTGTGTTCGGGGAACTTCAAGACGGTAGTACAATTATTGCACCTTCCCTGCGGCCGGATGGTGCAGACAACTCATGTACATACTAATAAATTAGTAGTAAATTAGTAATCAATTACTAATAAATTACTAATAAATTAGTAATAATTTAATAAATTAGTAATAAATTAGTAAGAAATTAGTAAGAAATTAGTAATAAATTAGCAATAAGTTAGTAATAAATTAGTAGTAAATTAGTAATAATAAAATAAATAGATAACGAGTTCTGAGTCCTGCTGGTTGCCACAAGAGAATGTTAAAAGTTAAGTTAAATGTTAAAACACATTAAGCACTCTTTAGAGTCCTTATTAAAATAAAATTATATCGTGAGGTAGCTCACGCATGCAGCATTTTTGACAGGGACATACCTGTAGCCTGCACCATGCAAACAGATACATCTTCGAAAGAACTTCAAAAAAGCGAAAAAAAAAAAAAAAGAAAAAAAAAGGGGGCGTCCATCCAGAACACTTGCTTGGTGTGAGCAAAAAAAAAAAAAAAAAAAAAAAAAAANAAAAAAAAAAAAAAAAAAAAAAAAAGTCGCTTGGTACGAGTTCAGCTCAGACTGGTTCCATAATAATGTGAAAAATCGATAAATCATTGTGTTTTGAAAGAAAAAAAAAAAGAACATGAGTCCACCAGGACAATATTCTTTTTTTGTTTTTGTTTTTTTGTTTTAAATTTTAAATTGTTTTTTTTTTCAGCGCCCGAAAACGTTCTGCCAACATTTCTGAAATACATTCTGTGCAAAGTTGCATACTCTTTAAATGATTCTTTATTAATATCTCGCAATTCTCACAACAAAAAAAAAAAAAAAAAAAAAACTTCACACTTCGCCTCTGCCATCTCCGGATGTGCAAAAATCGTTCTTTGGACTGGAGGGCCTTTTTTTTTTTTTTTTGTCGGTTAATATAAACATCAGGGCCGTCTGCATCCTTGACGGTGGTAACTGAACCTTTTTCCCGCGTTGAGGTCTGCAAATCCGATGACTCTCCATCCCTTCTTGCCAGTTCTTGGGGACTGACGCGAGCTGGAAAACGGGTCCAGTGTCTCTACAACATGATTGAAAAGCTCAGACAGTGCAGTGCCCTCCCTCCATCCCTCCCGACAGACGGACATCTTCAACCCGAGGGGCACCAGGACAAACAGAGAACCGCTACCATCTTCCGCCGAACATAACGCATAAATATTATGGGTTGTATTCGAGTTTTCGCAAAACAACGATGACTCAAATATAACGCACATATGTTGTATTTGAGTATAATTCCTGTTCATATAGAATAATAGAACTCACTATTTGAATAGAAAGCAACCTTGTATGCGCTGTATTCGTTTACAAAGCATTTGCATTATCTTCGGGAGAGAAGACGCTACCGTCTTCCCCCGAACACAACGCACCCTTATTTTGGCTGTATCTGGCCGGAAATATAGCTTGTATACATTCATTTTTAGGAAGCGTTATGTTCGAGGGAAGACAGTAGTCACAGGAAATCATCTATAGTTGACCATACGGTCCATAGCATGACTATTTTTTTTTTTCCCCTTTTTTTTTTTCGTTTCTGTTTAAGACTTTAAGTTTTATGTTTTAAGTTTTAACATGGTTATTATTGTGTGCGGCGTTCTGGTCCAATCTTTTTTTTTTTTTTTTTTTTTTTTTTTTTTTTTTTTTTGGGATCCAATCAATTGTGTTAACTGGTAAGAAACAAAAATAGAAAGAAAGAAAAAAAAAAATGTTAACTGCTGAACCTGGACGATGCATGGTTTCCATGCCAGACAGGGGATAAAGGTCCTTGTTCTAGTACTCAACTTTCTACATCCATTTGGAGTCCAACATTTTTCAATGTATCGGGACGATTACGAGGTCCAGAGTTATGGAAGCAAATAGCTCAAGAAAATACTAAGCAAAAGCATTTTTCGTTTGAACATATCTCTATTTTTAGTCGTAAACGTAGTGAACTATTTTTTTTAACTCGAATTGAGAGTATTTTTTTACTTTTTACACAATTGACTCGAATTGAGAGTATTTTTTTACTTTTTTACATAAATCAAATTTGGATGAAATTTTAATTATTAATTTATTAAAAAAAAAGAAATGAAAGAGTATTCAGGGATACATTTAGAGTGTTGTGTAGTGGAGCGAGACCCCATGTCTCTCTCAATAGTACAGGCTAGAATAACTGGATCATGAATGGTTTCTACGGAAGCTGACCCAGATACATTTTCAGTATCTGGATGTGTTCTCAACCAGGGGGCAAGGTCATGGTGGCAGACATGGATGCCGACCAAGTCTTCACAAGGGGTCATTACGAATGTATCGAGACTGAAAAATGCCTCACATACGGTCGTTAAGACTGTATCTACACTCAAAGGTGTCTCAAATAGAGCTATAACGGCAGTACGTTCTATTCAGGGGAATAAGACAGTACTACGAAGAAATAATGGTCCATCACGTGAGAATCCATCCACGTGTCCTTCGGGACATCCGTGAAATTGGAATAATATGGACTAATCACGGAGAAAGAAGATTAACTTTCTAGATTAGCATGGCCCCCGCACAAGGATGACACGCGTAAATCGAGACAAATGGTCCAATTCAGGGCCACCAGCCCGTACGTACGGAGGTCACCCGGAGGTCGTACGGAGGTCACCGGGCCAGTCACCGGGCCGACCTCTGTATGTAAAGGCGTTTGGGGTCCAGTTCGGGGTCCGAACCCGACGGCGTTCGGCCCCCGCCAAAAATTATTTCAGGGCCTAAAAATAAGTTTTTTTCCTGAATTGTTTTTTCGTGAGTTCTCTATGATGTGAGGTACATGCCTGTAAGTTTTGAAGTCATTTTGCTAAGCCAAACAAAAACTAAAAATCGCCAAAGATGGCGGTGACAAAGCGTGCTTGCGCACTCACTGTTTTGTTTTTTTTCACTTTTTACTTTTTGTTTTCACTTTATTGCTGGGCCTAAATAAAAATATTATTTTTCGAAACTTTTTTAATGAGTTTTGCATTATGTGAAGTACATATCTGTACATTTTCAGGGCATTTGGCTGTGCCAAAAAAACATGAAAAATCGCCAAAGATGGCAGTGTCAAAAACGTGGTCATTGACTCACTAATTTTAATTCTCTTTTGAATTTTTCTTATTTTTATTATTAGTTCTATTTTCGGTGTTTTATTTTTATTTCAAATTTGGTAAGGAATTTGGATGCAATGTTCAGGCAAATCTTGTTTAATTTATTTTTCTTCATAACATATCGTCTTTCAGATTTTTTTGAATTGTTTTTTTTTCTTTTTTTCTCTTTTTGGGTCCCCATTCGGCCCGAATGGCCGAACGCATCCCCAAGGGATCCCGTATGTCCGGCCGTTCAGCCTGTCCCGAGCGCCGGTTGCCCTGGTCCAATTAAAAAAAAAAAAAAAAAAAAAAAAAAAAAAGACTATTTAGGTGTGCCATCAGTGCCCATCACTATGTGGTAGACCAGTGTCAAATTGTCAACAGCTCGTACGACAAACTTGGTACTGTCTTCACCCGAGTAGAACGCCCGCCCGGGCAACATAGCCATATTTGGTGCCAATTTTTTTTTCAGTCCAGACTCCAGATACAGCTATAATGACCGGAAATTTGAACTCGGTCCGTGGCCCAATGGTCCAAGGAGTGGTCCAATGGATGAACTGATGGTCCAATGGTCCTATATCATTGACTGTTTCAGTGCGTGGTCCCCAAAGAATGGTCAAACGGTCCAATGAGTGATCCGATGGTCCAATGATCGACTGAAAGGTCAAATGGTCCAATGAATCGCCCGATGGTCCATTGGTTGGTCCAACTGAAAGGTCAAATGGTCCAATGAATCGCCCGATGGTCCATTGGTTGGTCCAACTGAAAGGTCAAATGGTCCAATGAATNCCATTGGTTGGTCCAACTGAAAGGTCAAATGGTCCAATGAATCGCCCGATGGTCCATTGGTTGGTCCAACTGAAAGGTCAAATGGTCCAATGAATTGCCCGATGGTCCATTGGTTGGTCCAACGAATGCTTCAGTGCATGGTCCAACTTGAATGAACGGTCAAATGGTCAAACGAATGGTCCAACGGTTAAATGAATGGGCCCATGGTCGAGCGAATGGTCCAATTATGGTTCAATGAACGCTCCTGGACCAACGATAATTTAAAATGACCATGGGCCCATTCATTTAACCGTCATTTTAATGAACGCTCCAATGAATGGTCCAACGGTCATATGACAACGGATCAACGACTGGTCCAATACGAATGATCAAATGAATGCGGCAGTGAATGGTCAAATGGTCCAACGAACAGACCAATGGTCCAATCACAGGTCCATTGGATGGATTCCCTCTAATGGTCC